AGGCATTCCTGGAGATACTGCAGTGAAAGAGAGGTATGCATCACTACTGTTCTCCCAGTGATTTGCCCAAGATCTGCATAGATTCACTTGTCTTTACTTTGCATACTGAAAGTAGTTCCCTCAACATTAAGAAGCAATTGATAGCTAGTAAGGAGAGGAATAGTATTTTCACTGGCAGTGGTAAGCTAACAAGCAACATGTTTTTTGGGTTTTTTTGGTTGGTTGGTTGGTTTTTTTCCCCTGAGTGTCCATAGGAAGAGAATATCTTTTAGGCTTGTGTATTTCTTAATGTAAAAATTGGAACTGGAATACTATTTTGACATTTTTATTTCATTTTAGTTTGCTGCAAAATACAGCAGGCAAGTTGAATATTGATCGCAGGAAGCTAGAGAAGGATTTGGGGAAAGCAGCTATTTTGTTACATGGAAAAGGAATCACTTGTTAGAAATAATTCTGTGGTGTCTCCAATGATGATAAATAAAAAAACCCTCAGGTTTATGGCAGGTGTGATCTTGGCATTGTATGGTAATGTTGTTACCTCTGATACTAATTTCTGGAGTAAACATTTCCTTGGAGTAGACATTCACATGACAGCATCTGATAATTCTGTGTTGCTTTGAACACAGAGTATGGCCAAGTAATTTTTTCTAACAATGCAGAAGTATTAATTAATGTTTCAGAGAATTAAAAGTATAAGAAACTGGGAAAAAAAGAGAAGGAATTCTGATAAATTGCAGTCTCTTACTAGAATTGCTACATTATTAGTGAATACTGGGAGTATCAGTTCCTTAGAAGGCCACACTAGTAATTGCTGCTTAATTATTTCATTAGTCGTTTTTTGAAGCAGTCAGGCAAGAATTATTTCTGGTGAATTACTCTCTCTCATATGTGCAAATTAAATTGTTTTTCAAGGTTCTTTATAAATTTTTCTGTTGTTCTGGTGTATGTGCTCAGATACAGGGCAGCACATATTTTAATGTGTTGTGCTTTGCAGATACGGTGCGTTATGAGCTTATGTATTGATTGTACCTATTTTAAATTATACTGCATTGCACTAGATAGAGTGAAATGTAACTGTTTACTTTGGATAATGTTACTAAATCTTAAGACTAAATTTGTAAAAACATAAACCAGATGTGACTCAACAGACTTTTTTTTTATAGTGTCCTAGGTTGGCTTTAACAAAGCCCAGTAAAGTAGACTGAATAACTTATTTCAAGACAACATCAAATAATAAGTTTATCTTCTTTACTAAGCTGTAGGTTCTGTTTTTATATTCCTAATACATAATAGATGCAATAAGGAAATGCAGCAAAACAACTGAGTAATGAGAGAATTCCTAAACTGTAAAATCAAATTAATTCTACGTTGATACATGGTAGTAAAAAGTGAAAAAATTAAGAATGACAATAAACTTCAAATTCACCTTAAATGCAAACCAAAATGCAGGAAAATGCTGATTATAGCTATGTCTGTATATATGATCTTTTCATCCTAGGCCCTGTGGAAAGTACAGTGTGGTTAAAAAATTTTTCTCTGAGGATTTGGCTATATAGTTTGCTGCTGTTGAGGAGACATGAAAGACAGACAAATGAGAGAGGAAGGGAAGTGAATATGAGACCAAAAATGCCTTCTGTGATTGCACACTTACTGAAGTCCTGATTCCAATAGTCTGAAGCAACCTGTCTAGAATTTCTCCTGTGAAAAGTAAGGAGAAGTAATCCCATTTAAGGAATAAGATTATAAAACTCTTTGATTTTTGTAGTTATAAAACATGGAATTCTTTATGGGAGAGAAGGTTAGATTTCCAAGTGTTTATTTGCTTGTAAGGATTGCTGTCTGTATTAAATTGCTTCCCATCCTTTTAAGACCAATATTAATTGAAATACTTTTATAATTTCTAGAAAGTTAAATTTGTTCTTCTGATAGAGATGTGCCATAGCATTTTAATTCAGCCTCTTATTTAAATTTGGGTCTTTGCGTCCATCTTTAAGCCAGTATAAAGGCTGCTTTTTCAGTCCCATTTGAAACTTTTGAGCTAGCTGGGGGATTTCTACCATCTCCTTTGATGGACTTACACAGTTCAGATTATTTTATCTTCAGGTCACTTCCTGTTCAGCTAACTTTTTGTTTTGATTTGCTCTATTAATGCTATGGATCACCTTAAGCAATTCTGTCTTTAGTATTCTTACCTATTACTGTTTGTACATGTGCAGGCTGGTGTAAGTTTACCATCAAAACAAGTTTTCAGGATGACATGAGAAGTGATTGATTTCTTTGCACAGAACAATTTATTTAGTGTCACTCATGTGCTTTAAGTTTCCACACACATTTAGTATTCAGTATTCTGGTTAATAAAAGATACTTAATTTTTAATAATTACTTCCATGTGGGAAATAAAGCTATTTAACAGATGTTTGTCAATGGATAAATGGCACTTTTTTACATTTTATTTGTATCTGTTTATATTTTAAAATATCGATACTACTGTTCACATCCTAAACCACAGTGGCCCCTGGAATCTAAAGCAAACCATAAAGTATACCTGTAATACAAGTATTTTTCTATATGCAATAAATAATTGCCTTCTAGTTTTAAAAAATATTTGGTCAATGAGTTCTTTCTTTGGTATTGTCATACATAACTTCAGATATTCGTACACACTACTGAACACTGGACTTGAGCATTGCTGACACTGAGATGCAAATCAAAAAGGCTGTCTTAAGCCTGTTTATTCTAAAAATCAGTGACAGTTTGAAGTATCAACTCACATACTTCAAAAGAAAATTTGGTAGGGGGGTCATGTTTCCTCTTCTAGGCTTCCAGCTTGTGGCATGCAAAGGCTGCTCAAGATACAGTGTTCTTCAGACATGCACCTTGCTCTCAGCTTCTGCTGCCAATAGAGGCACGCAACCTTTCCCCTGAAGTTTGGAAAGCCCTTTTTAGGCTACTGGTACTGTCCTACTGGTTTAAGTATTATTATCCCTTCTCTTTGTATACAATTTTGTTAAAGAAGCAATTCCCCAAGAGTTGACCACAGATTGAGAGTGATCTGCAAGACCCTTCCCCAGTTACATGCAAACTGGAAACTTTGAGAGCCAAGCATGGAAGAGAAGTTTGAGTCGTATTTTTTCTATTACAAAATGACTTCAGAATCATTGAAGATCCACCCAACCTAAGCCAGCCTTTGACACCAAAATACCCACATAGATTCGTACACCTTGATCTTGCTTCTGACAAAGAAGGGAGCCGGCATCTCTTCGGTGTTGTGTGTATGCATCTGTGCAAAAAATACCACACACCAACTGGCATGCAGTGCTCATTAGGAACACCAAAACCAGTTGACTTGTATACATAATCTAAAAAAGCCCAAACACAGCCACCACAAAAATTTAAAAAAAAAAAAAAAACAACACACAACTAAAAAACCTTGGTTGGAGCAGAGAGAGTGGGGAACCAGAAATGAAGCAGATGTGCAGCACTGCAGTGCAGATGGCTGTAACCTCAGATAGGTTTTGCCAAGATTTTCCAGGTTTAGGGACAGTATTCTCTGAGGAATACAGGCTTACTGAATGCTCAGCATTTTCCCGTACTTTGTTTCCTTATCACACTGAATGTTCTTTCTATGCTAGATGGACCTTTTTTGCCTTAAAGAGAGGTCTGAGAGTTGGATTTCCTAGAGTTTATTTTGTGTCTCACATTGACTTGGTCTTTAATTTGTTTGTCGACTTGTAAAATGGAAATATTATACAGGGAGTGTTTAAAAATAATCTATTCACTACTCTTACTGTTTTCATCTCCATCTAAAAACAGTGGAGTAAGCTTGCTCTGCAGATACAGATGATATTTTGCTGAGGTTCTCCACTGAGTTAGGCAAAATACATTACTGTGCGTGTCCACAGTAGCTACTGTTGAACTACCAAGAAGTGCCCTTAAAGAACAATTCTGAAACTTCTGCTTACTCTGTTTTGTGAAGATAAAGTGAGGATGAGACACAGTTAAACTGCTGAAAAGATCTGAAAAATGTAAGATTTAAGTAAGTCATTGTACATTTTTGCATCAATGAAGTAACAAGCACCACATGTCAGAGTGCACTAATTAGAGTTGTGTGCACAAATTAAGGTCACATGGAGAAAAGCTGTGGTTTTCATTGTAATAATTGGGATGCATTTAGACAGCAAGGGTGGTTACAATCTGTTCTGTAGTAGCTGCTGAAGTCAGAATAAAATTTCTACTGCATCACTGAAATGTTTTACAGTTATACAAACCAAACACCCTCAAACAAAAGTAAGGTGATAGTGCTGGTTAGACAATAATGCTCTTTATTCCTGAGCCAGTAGCTTGTGTAGCATCCAAGTACATGGGCAAAGATATGAACTCTGTTTATTTGTTTATGAAACTGAGAGAATTTCTCATGGAAGATGTTGGCAAAAGTGATGTAAGTGATGTAAGAGCAAGGAGCTCAGGATGTGTGGGAGGGTTGGGTGAGTCTGCAGCTTAAATCTGAGTATGGAATGTGATGGGATATTTTATTAAATTCTGACTTAAGTAGGTTTCAGTACTTTGTCTCTAGCGTTTTACATAGTGTTTCTCAGTTTTGTACCAAGAACAGAACTCAGGTAGTTTAACTTACAATTGGACCTGATGGTATGCCACATATATCCCCAAACTTCAGGTCATTCAAAAGAAGTCTCTGTATCTGACACATTGAAAGGTTTTAGTCATAATTCAGCTCATGCTGTGGCTGTGTATTTGTGTGTTGCGTGTGTGCACATATAAAACAGTTTGAGATCATAACGAGGGTTATCAAAAAGAACAGGAGAGCCTATGTGTTGGCTTAGGACATTGACTTTTTTTCTACTCAAAGTATAGAATCCCAGATAGCAAAATCATGTGCTTCTGCCTTAAAATAAGTGAGGGCTTGATCTCTTCTGTGTTTGTGCTTTCCAAGTATGACTGGTAGAAAGACCAGCTCTCGACAGGTAAATGACGTGTTGTTTTATTTGGTTTTGTCTTCTTTTATTTTAATTGTAGGAGTTCCATCTGGAATATGACAAATTAGAAGAAAGGCCTCATCTGCCATCGACCTTCAACTACAACCCTGCTCAGCAAGCCTTCTAAAGACTTCCCTTTTCTTGGGGTATGGCTGTCTCAGCACAATACTCAACATAACTGCAGAACTGATGTGGCTCAGGCATCCTGGTTTTAATTCCTTGAGGATCTGGCAATTGGCTCATGCGAAGGGTCACCATTTGAGGTCCTGCCTTACTAATTATGTGCTGCCCAACAACTAAATTTGTAATTGTTTCTCTTTAGTTTGAGCAGGGTCTGAATTTTTGTTTTTGTTTTATTTTTTTTGCCAGCAGACAAGCTTGGGTCTGTAAAGACAAGCGAGTACACTGACAAAAGTTTACCACTTAGTTTTCCAAAATGTAAAAACAAAAAAGACAAAAAATTAGACAACAAAATTTGCATTGTTCATTGTAGCACTATTGGTAATAAAAAATGTTTGTGCATTTTTATGTGAAGATCCTTCTCGTATTTCATTTGGAAAGATGAGCAAGGTTTGCTTCCTTCATTTTACTTCCCCTTCTGTTTTTGAAAGGCAGTTTTCGCCAAGCTTAATGCAAGAATATCTGACTGTTTAGAAGAAAGATATTGCCACAGTCTCTGGTTAGTTTCCAGAGTTGTGTATTACTGAGCTTCATCTTTCCAGAATGAGCAAAACACTGTCCAGTCTTTGTTACGATTTTGTAATAAATGTGTACATTTTTTTTAAATTTTTGGACATCACATGAATAAAGGTATGTATGTACGAATGTGTATATATTATATATATGACATCTATTTTGGAAAATGTTTGCCCTGCTGTACCTCATTTTTAGGAGGTGTGCATGGATGCAATATATGAAAACGGGACATTCTGGAACTGCTGGTCAGGGGACTTCTTTGTCGCCCTGTGCACTAAAGGGCCAGATTTTCAGCAGCCAAGGACATCCATACCCAAGTGAATGTGATGGGACTTAAAGAAGTGAACTGAGACAATTCACTCTGGCTGTTTGAACAGCAGCGTTTCATAGGAAGAGAAAAAAAAAAGATCAATCTTGTATTTTCTGACCACATAAAGGCTTCTTCTCTTTGTAATAAAGTAGAAAAGCTCTCCTCACTGCAGTGTTGACTTTGATTTGAGATTGTGAAATTATTTCTTCAACAACGAAAAATGGAAAAAAAAAAAAGTTGAAGTATTAAAACTATCGAGCTGTACAGTGGTTAAGACACTTGAAGAGTCTTTTTGCTGCTGACAAGTAAATTTATGAGAAAGTTTTATATTCTTTTCCACAGCCAAAAGGTTTGGTTAACCTTGGTTTCAGATCCGCTCTCTATAATAGCAATAGCAGGTCCTTTTTAGAAAGGTGGGTGGGTTACATTTGAAATGATAGAAAGATGCTTCAAGAATTCATTACAGAAGGAAGACTTGGAAAAAGCTTGGTTGAGAACTGATTTAGTTCCAGGTTGGTATTTTCCACTTAAAACAGAAGTACTTGAACTTCCAGACACAAACAAGGAGGAAGAAGAACCTGAACCATTTGGAAAGTTTCCTTTTTCTTGATGTGAAAATTTTAAATTCTATACTTATTTTTATATCTGCTTTAAGACGATATAAAAATATAAACCTGTTGATTATAATTTTTTTATTACTGAAGCAAACTGCTTTCTCAACTTGAAAGAGGAGGATGTTTATAATCCAGGTGATGGCTAACACATCTGAAAAAGATGGTGGCTTTTTTTTCTCAAATTAGAGCAGATACAAACATATTTGACTATTCAAACAAAAGTAAATGTCTTTTAAAAAGGATAATTTTCCAAAAGCATCTTGCTCACTCCCCAGTTAATGTTACATTTTTTTACTCTCAGAGGTCCACTGTGATCTTTGCAATTTTTTAAGGATTCCTGAAACAATGTTTGTCTTCAAATCAAAAGTGATTATTTCTTATTATATGGGCTTGGGGGTTTTTTAATGTTACTTTCCCTCTGCATAACCGATCTCCTGGAAATGAACAACAGATGTGGTAAGGGGAGCGAGATAAGTTACATTAAAAATGGTGTCTTATACTACTAAATACCTGTGGTACTTTAAAAGCAGTTTAGCTGAAATCGAGAACCTGAATTCTCCAAAAAGTTACTTTGGTGATACACTTGGATTCAACTGCGTGATACTTCAAAGATGCAAAATGCTCAGTTTTAGCAAATTTCTCACCTGTGAGCAAGGAGCTGGTGCTTTGCTCCTTCCAAGGGGAAGAACAGCCTGGCTCTCGTTTGTTGATTGAATAAGCATAAAGATCTGTGACTTAATTTCATGTTGTACTCTGGGTTGAAGTGGGAGAAACAGATTTGAACAGAAAACAGGGTATAGAATTGGAAACCCTTTTTAGCTGATGTCACATTAATTTAAAAAAGTGAGGGGATGAGGGGAAAGGCGGCTTTTTTTTTTCCCTGAAAGGAGCAGAAGCTCAGCCCTCATTTACACATTTACACATGTGGCAAATTGGCAGCTGAATTGGCCTGAAGATTTTTAATGCTGACAATGAAGGTCTGAGGCTTATTTCGTATACTTTTACATTTCACTAACACTATGAAGAAGGGGAGAGAATAGAATGCTATTTAAAAAATACATTTATTTGAGGTGGGTTTTTTCCCCTGTAATTACGGCATTGTGCAGCAACTTACAAGGTAAGTTCTAAGTAGTAAACCCGGTGGTCTTGGAAACAAGTAGAATTATTCCCATTTGTGGCCTGTTTAACACTCTTACTTCATCGCTCCTTATTACATAGTGTTTATAAATCTTTCTTACTGAGTAGTTAGCGCCAGTTTCTCTGGAAATCCACTACCCTGAATTTCTGGGGATAAAATGGAGTTTGCCCACTTGCTTATCCCCAGTGTTGCAGAAAACACAGTTGTTATTTTAACTATTATTACTCAAACCACCCTGCTTATGGGAAAACTGGGGGTGCCAGGGAGTCATGGAGGAAGGAGGTAAGGACGCTCCAGCCACGTGTTTGACAACGAACAAATAAAACCAAAATACCACCCAAGACCCAAGCTCCTCTGCCTTGGTACCTGGTGCCACACTTACTGAAGCATGTGAGAACCTTCCTGAGCTTGATTAATCTGATTGAAGACCCGGGTAATCCAGGGAAGCCTGCACATGAGTGCTTATATATATCAGTATTTTGCATGTGATGGTGACCCCTGTTGGAGTGGGTCACCATGCATGGCTGACCACACAGATGTGACATCTATAGGGTACGGTGATGTACAGTCACACCACTTTGCTGAGTGTCATGTCTGAAATCCTTTCTATCCCTAAGCCAGTATTTTTTGTACTTTTCCATTTCCATGTTACAGTTTTCATGAAAAAATCATATTGACAATGTACCTGACGTAAGAACTTGTGCACTGTAGTCAGAAGTGGAACTGTTTTTGAGGATGCTTGCAGAGTGCTGAGGGGCTCTTTTTGTTCATGGTAAGAGGCCGTAAAGCATCTTTGGAACCACCTAAGCAGTGCTGGGGGGCATTGAGGTGTGTGGGGCAGTCAGCTTCATCTTGCATGAGGTGTGGGTGGTGATGGCTATTGAAGAATGGAGTTCATTCTCTAAATAACAGTTTTGAGGGTTCCTGTCACCTCAAAGGAACACAGTTTAATTTTTTTATTTTTTTTTTAAATTATTTCTCCATAGCTTCTGATTGGCAGCATTTGCGTGGCTGGGTATTGACTGAAACAGAAAAGAAAGTTTGATTGGCAGCTGCCACACTGGAGAAATGGTGCTGAATGCACAGTTGTCATCCCAAGGAGGTAGCCAGACAGTGCTTGTGATTTAAGATACTAAATATAACAATTGCTTCTATTAAAGCATAATTTTAGAGTGTGCTGAGTTTTCAAATACCATACCCTTTCATCATCTTCCTCAAAATTTGCTGTTGCCTAAAAATCATAGTAGCAGAAGCTGAATTCTGGTAAAGAACACAGTTTGGGTTGAGCAGTTCATCTGGGCTGACAACTGATGCTTTTCCTTCCACAGGAGGAGAGGTAAAGTGGTGCAGCTCTTTTTGTTCCTCTCCTCAGATAAATGTGCATGTTCTCATTTCCACAAATCTGAAAGCTTCTAGTGCATTTAAAAGACCAGAGGAAATGCAGCTGCATGACTTATTTTAAAATTGAATTCAAGTAATTTGAATTACTTGAGTAGGTTTACTACTTAAAACCACTTTACTGTTGGAGTTAAACTTTATTTTTTTTTGAAAGAAATGTTAAAGCACATCAAACAGTAGTTTTGAATATTACTGATTCAACCCAGTTCAGAATTAGCAGTGCTAACCAAGCTTACATATTATTTTCCTAGACTTTGGTGTATTGTTTGCATTTCATATTCCCTTGTCGGTATTAACATGCCAGTATTGGACCTGGGTACACATCAGAATTTTCCTGCT